GAGTGGAGAGAGGAGAGTAGGAGAGAGTGGGATGGGAGAGAGGGAGAGAGTGGGAGACGAGAGAGGAGATAGGGGAGAGAGGAGAGAGAGGAGAGAGTGGGAGCGAGGAGAGAGAGGAGAGAGTGGGAGAGAGGAGAGAGTGGGAGAGAGTGGTCTGTGGAGAGAAAGAGAGAGAGAGTGTGTGTGTGTGTGTGTGTGTGTGTGGTGTGTGTGTGTGTGGGGTGTGTGTGTGTGTGTGTGTGTGTGTGTGTGTGTGTGTGTGTGTGTGTGTGTGTGTGTGTGTGTGTGTGTGTGTGTGTGTGTGTGTGTGTGTCTGTGAGAAAGAGCGAGAGAGAGAGGAGAGGCAGACAGAGAAAGAAAGAAAGAAAGTGGAGTGGACTGAAGTGGAGGATAAGAGAGGAGGAGGAGGAGGAGGAGGAGGAGGAGGAGGAGGAGGGAGAGATATTTGTCTGATGGGAGATGGGGCAGGTACCACTTCTCTCCTTCTGTGATGCTGACTAGTTTTTCTGTAAAGGGTTTCCCAGGGGCCTGCTAGGAATCACCATATCACTCTCATCTTCCTCCCCCTCTCCCTACATTTACATCTCTCTCTCCTTCCTCTCTCTCCCCCCCCTACTACAGGACAGCTCGCTCTCTTGCCGCGGCCGGTCTTCCCCGGTCCCGACATGGACACCGTCTCCGTCCGGATCCGCTCTACCCCAGACCGCTCATTACACGGCGGACCGCGTCCCCCGCAAGGGACAGCTGCCCGCTGCGTCGTCCGCCGTCCGTCTCCCTACATTGACAGGTCCCTTCGGTCTGCGACCCTCCCCCTCCCCTAGAAAGGACAAACGCTCGCGCTGCTCTGCTCCCGCCCCACATTAAGAACGCGCTCTCTCTCGCGCTCATCCCCCGCTCCCTACATACAGCGCTGCTCTCCGTCTCCCTCTCCCCCTCCCTACATTTACATCTCTCTCTCCTCTCTCCCTCCCCCTCTCCCACATTTACATATCTCTCTCTCTTTCCTCTCTCTCCTCTCTTCCTCCCCCTCTCCCTACATTTAAATCTCTCTCTCTCTCTTTCCTCTCTCTCCTCTCTCTCTCCCTCTCTCGTGGCCTCTCCCTCTCTATCAATTCAATTAAATGTAATTCAATTCGAGAAGCTTTATTTTTATGAAAAGTAAAGGATCTTACATTGCCAGAGAAAACAAGAGTCTCTATGCAAATACACCTTTTACACAATGAGATTTTATGCTGTAGCTATTTCAAATGTCGCCTCCCTCCCTCCCTCTCTTACTCTTTGTCTGTCTCTCTTTTTCCCTCCCTCTTGTCATCTCTTTCTTAAAGCCATGATACAGTATCTTGCACCCTTCTACTGTAAAGTGAAGAGTAGTAAATGAAGTAAGGTGCCTAGAATATGAACAAGGTGAACAAATGACCATGGTGATACAAAATGGTACACCACAAAACCTAGCATGCAAATACAAAGAAAGTTTTGTGATATTTATGTAAATTGGTGTCATGAAAGGATTTGCTACCAAAAGAAACCAGTGCACATGAAAAACGTTAATCCTTTGCATTTCTGCATGCAATTCGCAGGCCAATGAAACATTCTGTTGAGTACGAATTATGAGAAAGCCTTTAATGTGATGTAGTTTGTTCATATAGTAATATACAAATACAGTAGTCACAGTACTATAGTACTATAATAGTTACATACATTGAGAGGACAAAACATTAGGAACTCCTGCTCTTTCCATGCAATAGACTGACCAGGTGAATCCAGGTGAAAGCTATGAATCCCTTATTGATGTCACTTGTTAAATCCACAATTCAATCAGTGTAGATGAAGGGGAGGAGACGGGTAAAATAAAATAGAAAATTAAGCCTCTCCCTCTCTCTTTCCACCCCTCTCTTTCCCTCTCCCTCTCTCTCTTTCCAACCCTCTCTTACCCTCTCCCTCTTTCTCTTTCCACCCCTCTCTTTCCCTCTCCCTCTCTCTCTTTCCATCCCTCTCTTTCCCTCTCCCTCTCTCTCTTTCCACCCCTCTCTTTCCCTCTCCCTCTCTCTCTTTCCACCCCTCTCTTTCCCTCTCCCGCTCTCTCTTTCCATCCCTCTTTTACCCTCTCCCTCTCTCTCTTTCCCCTCTGCGTGAACTCTTTCTTTGTCTGTGTGAGCTCAATACATGAGCGGTGAATGACATAGTTGACTGGAAATATTAATAAATACGATAAAACCTTAATTCCTGGCTGACTGGCTGGCGGGTGGGTGGATTGGTTAGGAGAACAGGGATAATCCTTGTTCAGTGTTTCCTTCCTCGCTAACAGCTTAGTCATTAAAGCCACGGTCAGGGGGTCAGCTGGTCATCTGACTGCCGCTCAGACAGACAGACCTACAGCATTCCAAATGGCACCCTATTGCCCATGGACCCTGGTCAAAAGTAATGCACCATGTAGGGAATATGGTACCATTTGGGACAGACCTACAGACAGGCAGAGGGCCATGTGGTTAGAGGCTTATGCCATACTCCTTTCGTCACTGAAATATCCATTTTTTGCTGTTTAATATATATATATATATATGTTGAAGTTGGAAGTTTACATACACTTAGGTTGGAGTCATTAAAACTCGTCTTTCAACCACTTCGCAAATTTCTTGTTAACAAACTATAGTTTTTGGAAGTCGGTTAGGACATCTACTTTGTGCATGACACAAGTACTTTTTCCAACAATTGTTTACAGACAGATTATTTCACTTATAATTCACTGTTTCACAATTCCAGTGGGTCAGAAGTGTACATACACTAAGTTGACTGTGCCTTTAAACAGCTTGGAAAATTCCAGAAAATTATGTCATGGCTTTAGAAGTTTCTGATAGGCTAATTGACATAATTTGAGTCAATTGGAAAGGTACCACTTTCATCTGTACAAACAATAGTACGCAAGTATAAACACCATGGGACCACGCAGCCGTCATACCGCTCAGGAAGGAGACACGTTCTGTCTCCTAGAGATGAACGTACTTTGGTACGAAAAGTGCAAATCAATCCCAAAACAACAGCAAAGGACCTTGTGAAGATGTTGGAGGAAACAGGTACAAAAGTATATATATCCACAGTAAAACAAGTCCTATATCGACATAACCTAAAAGGCCGCTCAGCAAGGAAGAAGCCACTGCTCCAAAACCGCCATGAAAAAGCCAGACTACGGTTTTCAACTGCACATGGGGACAAAGATCGTACTTTTTAGAGAAATGTCCTCTGGTCTGATGAAACATAGAACTGTTTGGCCATAATGACCATCGTTATGTTTGGAGGGAAAAGGGGGCAGCTTGCAAGCCGAAGAACACCATCCCAACCGTGAAGCACGGGGGTGGCAGCATCATGCTGTGGGGGTGCTTTGCTGCAGGAGGGACTGGTGCACTTCACAAAATGGGCCAAAATTCACCCAACTTATTGTGGGAAGCTTGTGGAAGGCTACCCGAAACGTTTGACCCAAGTTAAACAATTTAAAGGCAATGCTAATTGAGAGTATGTAAACTTCTGACCCACTGGGAATGTGATGAGAGAAATAAAAGCTGAAATAAATCATTCTCTCTACTATTATTCAGACATTTCACATTCTTAAAATAAAGTGGTGATCCTAACTGACCTAAGACAGGGAATTTTTACCAGGATTAAATGTCAGAAATTCTGAAAAACTGAGATTAAATGTATTTGGCTAAGGTGTATGTAAATTTCCGACTTCAACTGTATATACACTACCGTTCAAAAGTTTGGGGTCACTTAGAAATGTCCTTGTTTTCCATGAAAACATTCATGAAATGAGTTTGAATAGGAAATATAGCAAAATGCATAGGAAATGTAGTCATTGACAAGGTTAGAAATAATGATTTTTAATTGAAATAATAATTGTGTCTATGTATATCTATAGATATATATATAGAGAGAGATAACTAGAAAAATAGAGAGAGAGAGTTTCATTCCAAAATTAGCTTTTATTGTTGAAAGAAATTTTGAAAGAGAGAGGTGTGTTATTTCACTATCTAATCATGGCATGGGGTTGTTCATACATGTATTTATTTATCTTTTATCACTTGGTGGTTTCACTTCAGAGAGACAAATAATCATGCTTTTTTTGGAAAATGCTATATATCCACCTCACTCTCATACATTTGTGACATAAATATTAAGAACATTTTCAAAAAAATAATTCAATAGAGTAATATGTTATCTGTATGTAAAACATTTACATTTGACATTTTAGTCATTTAGCAGATGCTCTTATCCAGAGTGACTTACAGTAAGTGCATTCATCTTAAGATAGCTAGGTGAGACAACCATATATCACAGTCAAATATATAGGATACGAACATTCCATTCCAGGTAAACAATGGATGGATATATAGCGTTTTGCAAAAAACACATCTAAAATCCATGAATCCGGAGAACAGTAATATTTTACACACACATGATGGTACCCATAAGCAATCATTTTTATGAAAAAACACAAATATTGGAAAATGTATGAATATAGCGTTTTGGAAATAAACTCTTCATATGTATTTTCTTCCTTTTCTTTCTTTTTACAAATGTCATTGAACGCTTTCCTCTGTTTGTGTGCAAAGAGTAGACGTTACAATCAGAAGTTGTAGTATTTCGATAGTTTTTTATTGTTTCAATGCTACAAAGCTTGGTGTGATCCAGGACAGAAACCCTCGCGCCGTTGTCGCTGCGCGGCGCGCGTGTCTCCTGAATGGCAATGCATGAATTCAGAATATTGTATTTGAATGACACGTCTTGCATGGAAATACAACGATGCCTCGCAGATATTTACAACATCGAATATGCTACACAGGAGCAGCGCACACAGCATATGCAAATATACTGCCTGTCTCTCTCCAGGTCTCACTGTATATGTCCCGTAGGCTGTTCTGTTTCTAATTCACACCGTAGGCTAGAGACTTTATTTATTTTTCCATCATTGGAATGAAGTAAACGCTAACATTTTACGAATGAATGGCTCACGGTCTGTGGAATTTGCATCTTATGATCTTAGTGAAAGCACTTTGGAAGTCTTTGTTAAAGTAGGCATAAATGATGGGGTTTAGGAGAGAGTTCGAATAGCCCAGCCAGTTGATGACGGCGCCCAGCCACTCTGGCATGTAACAACTCTCTGCACAGAAAGGCAAGACCAGCGCCACGATGAAAAACGGCAGCCAGCAGAAAATAAAAGTCCCCATGATGATACCGAGCGTCTTTACCGTTTTCCTCTCCCTGTACAGAGCTATTTTCCTCTTAGCCTCCGTGTTCTTTTCGTTCCTGTTCTCAAACCCTTGTGAGGACTGGGGAGTGTTGGGGAGAGGCAGGTGGTTCTTAGAATTGTTGCTAACTTCTATGATCTCCAACGACTCGCCGTCCTCCCCGTGCTTCACGGAGCCGTTTACGCACGGGGAGTTGGGTGTAGGTTCCACACTGCGCTTCCAATTCTTTCCCCCCGCCTCTCCATTGATCTTCTTGTGAAAAATAGCGGGCGATACGGCCAAGCACTTGTCCGACACTTTCGCCTTTTCCGATTTCTTCACAGTTTTCCAAACCTGGAACCTGGCTGCCTTGAATATCCGCCCGTAGAGGACCAGCATGAGGATGAGCGGGATGTAAAATGCTCCGAACGTGGAGTAGATGGTGTAGCCCGGGTCCTGGCTGATGGTGCAGGCGTCCGGGTTCGCCCTGTCCTCGGCTTTCCTCCAGCCTAACATGGGTGGGATGGAGATTGAGAATCCAATCAGCCAAGTCACGCTGATTAACAGCACGGCTCGCCTGGGTGTCCTTTTGTTCACATAGTCTATGGGGTCCGTGATAGCCCAGTACCTGTCCAGGGCAATTGCGCACAGATGCAAAATGGACGACGTGCAGCACAACACGTCCAATGAGATGAATATATCACATATCTCCTGTCCCAGAGTCCATTTGTTCAGGACTTGGTAGAGGGCTGCCATGGGTAGTACCAGAACCGATACCATGAGGTCTGTGACGGCTAGCGAGCCGATCAGATAGTTGGCCACGTTTTGGAGCGACCTCTCCAGCGCAATGGCTGCGACGACGCACGCATTGCCGAATATGGAACAGAGGATGAGCGCGCAGAGCAGCAGAGAGGTGACCACCTGGTAACTCAGCTCCACCTCGGGCACACTTCTAGACCCCGTTGCATTCTCATTGTCACCCCACCTTGGAATGACATCCACGACGTCGGGGAAGGCTGTGGTCGAATTGCTGTTGTTACTGCTGTTGTTTATAAAATCCATAGTTTGTCAGGGACATGGGACAGCCGGTAGGCGCGCCTGGTAGGACAGGACAAGGTAACCGAAGGGGGAACCTGGATACTCAGTCAGTCCCTCGTGCTGGCGCCGGTGTGGGTACTACCGGGGTCCATCGGAGTTCCTGTGCCTGTTCCCTCATTCCGAGGACGCATGACGCGTACTGGTACCAGTGTGTGTGTGCGCATGTGTTTGTTGACGGTCGGGGCGCTCACTGGTCCTGCAAATGATCTGCACCTGGTGACGCCGTGAATTCATTTATAAGCTACCAGCAGCAAGTAGGTATACGTCAGACGGCCATTGCATGAAGTCGCGGGGGAGTTATGTTGCTCTGCTCTCCCTGGTCGTGTCCTTTCGATAGCTGCATACTACAGATAAAGAGCGGAGCTTCTCCTCCCTCTTCTGTTTATTTTCTACTTTTTTTTTAACCCTTTCTCATTATCTGCAATAGATTATTGTGTTACCTCTGTAGCCTAATCAAATTATGCAAGAAATGAAAGTAGTTTTCTGCATTGCGAGTAACTATTTATTTATCAAATAAAAATACATGTTTCTTATTTCAGTCAATTGATATTTCGTTTTACATTAATTTCGGGCTGAAAACGCGATTCATCTCATCGGACATAGAGGGGGAGTAATTCTCTTCAAATGATGACAACAAAAAACAGATTTATCAGGCGGGAAAAAACTAATATTATTTAACAATGTGATATTAAGTAATTGAAGTATAAATGGTATTTAATTAATAATATATGTCATTCTTAATGTGATTGAAAAATAGGCTCATTCCCAAAATGAATGGAGCCTGCCTTGTTTCAGAACCATGGACAGCGCCATGCATGAGTCCAGAACAGAAATCTGCTGCCAGCTGCTGTAAGGAACGAGAACTACGGCTGCACACTTTGGAACTCGGAAGAATGTGTGGTTTTCTGAACCACAGATGAGGAGAAAGTGAAAGCTTGCTCACGCAAGTTTATTAAAATCCCATACCAAGGTCGTGTATAAGAAAGAAACACCCGAACAACCCAATAACCTAACCAATGATAGACCTAAATGGTATAGATTTTTTGTTTTATATTAGCCTATTAGGTCTATATTACTTAGTAGAGGTACTTACAGGCTTAGGTCAATCTGATTAATTTGATTCAATGCAATTCAATCTTTGAGGACTGCAACCACAGAAATACATTATTTTAAATGCCTATTGATAAGCCATTGTCAACTTCCCGTCTATGGTTATTTTGCTCAATGTCACCATATGTTTATGATTTGGTCCTCTGTAGCTCAGCTGGTAGAGCACGGCGCTTGTAACGCCAAGGTAGTGGGTTCGATCCCCGGGACCACCCATACACAAAAAATAATAATGTATGCACGCATGACTGTAAGTCGCTTTGGATAAAAGCGTCTGCTAAATGCCATATTATTATTATTATTATTTCGTACAGAAAAATAATTTGTTTGTAAATGCAACTATGGCCATGTAAATAATTGTTAGGCTACTCGTTTTGAATCCACCGGTGGCACCTTGTGTGGCCATAAACGTTACTGGTATGTCTGCCTTACACCTTAGAAGTAGCCTGGGTACCAGTCTTTTTATCTAACATTCCACTCCTTGCCTCTCCTGTCATTTGCCGAAGAAGTCGTTTGTCCAGTCAATTAGCGTTATGGTTAAAAGTCATTCTACAGATTTAGAATTGGCCTACCAACGCTTACATAATTTGTATTATGACAGCTGAATCTCCCATAGTAACCGTGCCATTCCAAACACAAAAACCAGGAAAATAAACAAAAACCCAGTGGCATGCAAGAGGACGATGCGCTTCTTTTGATCCTAAAATGAAGAAAATCTGCTAAAAAAAAATAGGAGTAGACCCTCCCGCAGTGGAGAAGCTTACTGTATTATAATATAGATGATTTACCGTTTATAATGTTTGGATCTTGAAATTATTCTATAAACGTTTTAAACTGATAGCCTATCAATTTATATTCCTGTGTCTATTCTCTTCATTAGTTGTCTTTTTCAATGTTGTGCAATGTTATAGCTATAGTAAATGTTTATGAATTAATGATTTGCTGTTCATAATGGTTGGAATCCAACTGTTGGATCAATAAATTATTGTAGGCCTAATAAATTATTGTAGGCCTAATGGTGCAGTGCATCTGACTAACTGTTGATGATTGAATGTGTAAATGTAAAAAATATATATATATATATTGTTTTAATGTTGTTGTTTTTCTAGGGACAGATACAAGATTCAATGTTTTAATTGTATCTATCCCTAACCGATTTGGCTATTATTATCTACTTATATTATTAACTCTACTGCCTAAAACTCTTTAATAATAAAAAGTCAAAGTCATAACAGTTTTAGTTAAAAGCCAATCTTTTAATTAAGCAGACTTTAACAGATCTACACTACCAGGGGTGTCGGGAGGGAGTCCCGGGAGAGGGCGGTTAGGTCAGGTAGGGTACCAGGCATTTCTAACGCCTCCTGCGGCCTCCTCTCCTGCGACGCCGGGACACCCTGGGGCGGCGGCGCCTACGGACAGGGCGACTGCTGGATCTTCTTCGTCTTCTTGGCATTGTGATTGATAGGTAGACTAAGAATGAATTTTAGACGGCCGGGGATCCGTTTTATAGGGCTGGAGGGGGGTGGAGTGACGTCATCATGTGATAAATGATGATGCAATAAATATTCATTACAGTTTGAATTTTGAAAACGACTTACTGTCTTCAGTGATGTCATAGTATAGCATTTGGCAGGATGACGCAATAGTGATATTTTTTAGCTAATTAAAATTGTGTTCTGTTTCTTTAGCCAACCCAATGAACCCTGGTTTAAAAAAAGGGGGGGGGGGATTTATTTAATATGGATGATTTCCATAAGAATGTGTTGTGCTTAAACAATAATACTGGGTTAAGGTGCACATTTCACACCTTCTGAACACTCAAGCTTTTCTTTTGAATGTTCATTTATCCGAGGTGGTAGGCTAATCGTCTTCACTGTCTTTTGCCTTGTAATTTTCAGTTGTGAAGTCGTAAATACGAGTTGGATGCATTCACCTGCTTTGAAATCATTTGAATTTGTATTTATTATGGGTGCCCATTAGCTGCGGCCAAGGCAGCAACTACTCTTCCTGGGGTCCGGCAAAATTAAGGCAGTTGTACAATTTTAAAAACATTACAATACATTCATAACAGATTTCACAACACACTAAGTGTGTGCCCTCAGGCCCCTACTCCACTACCACACATTGTGAAACGCCGATTGGCTAATGGCCAACAAGCTGCATCAACCATAAACTAAAAGCACAGCTATCATGCTGGTAAACAAATTATAGCGTTCAAAAATATATTAATATATTGCTTTTTATAACAAAATGTTTTGTTGTTGCATTCAACTGCCGAAAATGTTGTTATTGAGGTCATTTCCTTAAAGGGGCAATCAGCAGTTGCTACATACATTTTTCGACTTAAATTAATTATATGTAGGACTAACATTGATTCTTGAAGAATATAACTAAATGCCTGATGAGCTTTGTTCAACTGTCATACCCCATCAGAACCCAAAACATAAGCATCTTTTACTCCAATGTTTGTAAAAAAAAAAAAAGTTCATGTAAAAAAAACGCAGTATAGCCTCAAAACATGGTTAAACCCATAATTTTTACAGTTCAGAGGAAAAAGAGAGCTTTTAATTCAGGAGCTGTATTTACTATGCTCTCTTCCGGGACAATGTGGACGACATGAGTTCTGATGCAACAATTGTTTACTCGCAGAGGACAATAGGGAAGAAGTGGCTATTCTTCGCAAACAGATTAAGAATTTGCGCAATCTACTGGGGAAAGCACCCCCATCTACCTTCTTCTCTACACCACAGGCTGGACGCTGTTCCCATGTGTTGAGAGTATCACCGCCATGTCAACACTCCTTGACTGAAAGGCCAATGCCTTCCAGGGACCCCTCCCTGAAGAAGTCTCACACTCCCCTGGAAAATGGAACAGGACCGTGGCTTCTGGTGGATTTAGCAGATGATACTGTCACCAATCCTGCCGCCCAACCATGGAAGCACATCCCCCGCCTTAGGCCAAATGGAGGGAAGCGGCCTGTGGCAAATGGGGCTTCTTTGGCGTTGGGAAGCCCGACCCAAATCCACTTGTCAAACAGTTTCGCCCCCCTGGCTTCAGAGGTTCCTGTGCCATCATCCCCTATCCAGACTTCTTCCCAGGGGGATTCTGCATGGGATTCCGCCTGGGATTCAGCCTTGGACTCGGATCCTCCACGTTCCACAGGGATTCTGCCTCAGACTCGGATACACTGCGCTCCTCCTCTCACAGACCTTGAGGGTGTCTGACGCATTGTCTCCTCCGTCAGCCACAATGGGTTTTGCGGCTGGCTCGAGGCGCAAAAACTGCCGGACCTCCTCTGCCATTTCACCAGCCACTACCATCGGCAGCTCTATGGTGAAAAACATCTCGGTTCCCAGGGCATAAACCCTGTGCTATCCTGGGGCTCAGGTACAGGACATTATTAGGCTGCTTCCTAGTCCCATAGGGTGGCGCACAATTGGCCCAGCGTCGTCCGGGATAGGGAAGGTTTGGCCGGGGGTCTTTACTTGGCTCATAGCGCTCTAGCGACTTCTTGTGGCGGGCCGGGCGCCTGCAGGCTGACTTCGGTCGTTATTCGAACAGTGTTTCCTCCGACACATTGGTGCAACTGGCTTCCGGGTTAAGCGGGCAGGTGTTAAGAAGTGTGGTTTGGCGGGTCATGTGTGGCATTGTGTTATGTAACAAAACTGCACATTTTAGAGTGGCCTTTTATTGTCCTCAGCACAAGGTGCACCTGTGTAATGATCATGCTGTTTAATCAGCTTGTTGATATGCCACACCTGTCAGGAAAGAAATAAGCTTTTTGTGCATATTAAACACTTCTGGGATCTTTTATTTCAGCTCATGAAAAATGGGACCAACACTTTACATGTTGCGTA